GTTCATCTGAGCTCTCTGAAAATCGTGAAACTTTGAAATTTTCAAGGTACAGATCATTATGAGTATTCATATCCACAATTCTAGCAAGTGTTTCCTCACTAATGAGATTATTCTACATTACTTCAAGTAGCAAGTCGTTTCAAGCTAAATTTTCGATAAAAAGTACCAGTTTCCATCTTTGGAAACTCCTCCTTCCACTTGTAGATCACTAACGCAGATAACCTGGCTTGACAGTACCCCCGGACATTTCAACAGACCCACATCAACTATGCTGACGACAGCTTCATCTGAAACTGCACAGGACTTTCCAAAGCGAACCTGAGCACTGGCTTGGTGTATCGGAGACTGCAGCACCTAAAAACGACACTTCTCCTGATCCTGATATGGTTCATTCTGCTATACTGAGGGAGGCAGCTTCAATCCTGACGACACTGCTTAGCGTGATATTCTCACACTTGCTGAGCCGAAACACACTACTGGAAACTTGAAAGCTGACTCGCGTCACATCGATTTTCAGAGGAGGTCGACGCAGCGAACCTTCAAGCTACCAACTTGTGTCTCTCCTCTCGCTATACCTTCAAACATTACGGAGTCCCTGTTATACGACGTCATACATAACTATTTATTATCCTTGATCTTCTTTTCACCCCGACATCATGGTTTCAGGAAGGGTCATTCTTGTATAGCCAACTTGTTGGCTGCGGTGTACAGATGGACAACCATCCTCGACTGCAAGGAGAAGGTTGTCGTCATCTACCCTGACTTCTCAAGAGCCTTTGATAGGGTCAACCACATATGTCTTATCAATAAACTCAAACAATTGGGTATCAAATCACCTCTAATTGATTGGCTCACTTCACGTTTAAAAGGTCGACCTTTTGGGGTCAAGGTTAACTCCAGTTTCTCTCATGCTATGGGATGACTTAGTGGGGTCCCCCAGGGTCCAGTATTAGGATATCTTCATTTCTTTATTCGTATAAACGACTTTCCACAACAGGTATTGTCTGAATCATTACTTTTTGCTGATGATGTGAATCTGCGTCGACCCTCTCTCAAAATTGGTGTGATGTGAGTCAGCTTTCAAGTTTCCAGTAGTGTGTTTCGGCTCAGCAAGTGTGAGAATATCACGCTAAGCAGCGTCGTCAGGATTGAAGCTGCCTCCCTCAGTATAGCAGAATGAACCATATCAGGATCAGGAGAAGTGTCGTTTTTAGGTGCTGCAGTCTCCGATACACCAAGCCAGTGCTCAGGTTCGCTTTGGAAAGTCCTGTGCAGTTTCAGATGAAGCTGTCGTCAGCATAGTTGATGTGGGTCTGTTGAAATGTCCGAGAGTATTGTTCAGCCAAAAGGTTAGCGGTGTCACCGCCGTTGTTGTGTTGGACATTAGGACCGAGCAGTTGAGAAACCCCCGTTTTGACATGTCCAAGTAAGGCTGCATAACTGAATAAGCTTTTCGGATTTAGGACAAATTTATCCATAAGCCTTATCTGGTACTGAAGTCTTTTCTCTTATAGCCTAACTGCATATGTTCCTTATATTTTTGTATTGCCTGGACGCATCGTTGTTACCAGTTTGCTTGTATTCCGCCTGACACTGCCTTTTGCGGCTTAGCAGGCAAAGAGTGTGGTTATTGATAACTGTATGTTGCTTGTAGATGTTGGGGGTCATTAGAGGAACAGACTGGTTTGCAGCTCATATGATCGTGAACAGTAAGAAATCCCAATAAGCATCCACTTCAGGTTGACTGTGAATTTCCCAATCCACCTGTTGTAGATTGTCCTGTAAAGTTGACTTATTCAGCCGATTGAAATTCCAACGCCTGTTGTTGGCTGGATGTCTTAGCTCAGTTTCGTTGATAAAACTGAAGGCTATGACGGCGTGATCGATCCTCCTCAGAGGAGTCAGGATTGAGAGGTTTTCAATTAGGAATTCTTCTTTTGCAAATACACAGTCTACGTGTGATGGTGTCTGGCTGTTTCTCCAACGAGTTGCCAACTTCACATTTTCGAATGATCCCAGATCCTCAATGAGGTTGAGAAACCGGACTTCAGTATGGTTTTCACCTCCAATATACGTATGTTCCGCGAAATTGACTTCAAGTAGATTAAAGTCTCCTAGAATCAGGATATGAGTGAATCTGAGACAAATAGAGCGGGATAATTCTTCTGGCATACGATTGTCGTACGCGATGTCAGCAGTCGGATTCATGTAGATGACTCCAACTAGACACCTCGAGGTGGTACACAATCTTGCTGAGCACCTTACGGATTCATGAACATTGATAAACTCTTGGTTGTGCTTATGTACCTTCAGGCAGGATCGTAAGTATAAAGCTGCTCCATTCTTAATTCCTGTTTTTCTGTCACTGCGAAACAAAAGCATCCGGGTATTGCTAGCTCCCATTCAGTGAACTGGGAAGATATCCAAGTTTCAGATATTCCTATTCCAGTTAGCAACGGAAGTCTGTTGGCACGAAATACTTCCAAATTTGCAGCCACTATATGGGAGGATGAGAAAGTTATCTTTATTATCCGGAGTCTAGAATCTCCATCCTTCTGGGCTAGTCTCATCACTTGTTGAGTCCATATATTTTTGAGCTCCGAGGATTGCTTGATGAGTTTCCATTCCCTAATATCAGAAATTGTGTGATCAGGGTCCGTGTTTCTCGATACACCTTGTACAATGAAATTTCTTCCCCGGAAAAACTCGAGATGTCCTAGAGATGTTCCGCCTTAGATTACGCTCAGAATACAGTATGTCGTGCAGTATTCTTACATTCCCATCTGATTTCAGTAAGTGGTTAGATAGTGGGATACCCTCTACGTTCTTAAGTGTTACACGAAGTAGCCTTGGGTGATTTCGATGCTTAGAGTCTTTTCCTTGAGTGATCCATGTGACCCTCAAAGGCTCTCTTCGGGAAAGCTCAAGCTTCTTGCTTAACTTTTTTCAAAGCATCCTGTCATTTTTGTACTGCGAACTGAGAGGAAGGTCAGAGTTATTTTTGAGGCTCACGAATATGAGAGAATCATCGCGAACCGTGAATGTTTTCCCAGGTTTTCAGGTATGTTCCAGTTGCGCACCTTGTTTGTTTGGTGATTGAAAAGCGCTTCCGATTCCTTGGTTCTTTAATGATCGGACGGACATGCTTGAGGGCAGACTGTGAGGCCAAATCACCAGTTTATTTCCCTACAATACTTGGGATGTTCAGCTTTTTAGACGGTGACGTCAGGTCCTTTATAACTTTGTTAGCGGAGCTTCAATCACCTACAGAGTTTTTGAGAACCACCACTGCGTTCAGGGATCCTGTACTGGGAGACCCAAGTCTACTGAGGGAGTCTTTTGTCGTTAATCTTATGATGGTGCTGAGTTTCAGCATTTCATCACTGTTGTTATTACATGCTCAGTCGACAGTAGCGCTATCGACATCTTTCTTCTTATTTTCATTGCGTGTCGTCGTTTGTTCACTCACTTTATGACTGTCTTTTTTCAAGTTTGCTGACAACTTATTCCACGGACCTGTCAATAGGACAATGGGGTTACCCAGCCAAAATTCAGCATCCGTGTTGCACATGAAACATACCCACTTATGATCCGACTTATTGAGTCTGTCATAAGCAGTTATTTTGACATCTGTGCTCACTTCATGTAACCAGCCAGATGTAACAGCAAAGCGGCGTCCGTGTTGTTTGCATGAAATTTTCATGACTATAGTGACGTAAATTGTTTTATAGACCCTAGCGAAAGCCTAAGACTGTAGGAAACAATACACTAAAAATGGGTTGTACAAAAGTTTAGGATAAACTGAAACTAGCCTTGATGTGATGAAGAACTGAAAAACCGAAATAAGTTGAGGTAAAACTACAGTTAACTATTACGTTGGGTGAAACTCAAAAAGAAAAGTAATCTACCGAACGTATATCTCAGACCAGACTCTTTAGATCAGGAATGGTACTTCTGCGTTAGAACACGGCGGAAGTTTAAGAAACGCAAATCACGTTCGTAAAGCGAGCGCGTAAAATCGGCTCCGCAGTCATATTTAGAGACCAGTAGAATCCTTTGGAACTACTCTTCAATTACGTGAATAAACTTTACACATCGTCGGTAGTCTTAAGGAGCAGCAAATTTAACCGCCACTGATCAATTGTAAAGTTTGTTTACTGTGGCAGAATAATAAACTTTGGAACGCCCCCCTCATATTCCAATACTACCGGTCATGACCAAGTGTATTCTTTCGATGCACAAGTAGAAGAGTTAGTAGACAAACTTTTATAATTTCTAGTAAGAGAAAAAAGGGTTTTTACCCTGCGTTATTTGTTGTAAGGAAGTGTACCATAGTATTTTTTGCGTAGTTAGGGTAGTGACTGCACCTGGCATGAAATAAACATAGTCAGTACAAACTGAGGAATTTGATTTACCACTTTAAAAATGTCTTATTTATGATGACCCGTGGCATTTGTATGAGTGATTTGTGTATATATTCTGTCCCTCCAACCAGAACTGTAAACAGAACTTAAAATCCACAAGAAGCGGTCACTGATACTCGGAGTTTAAGTAATTCCTCTTCACATAATGATCCCAACCGAATCAGAAGTAGAGAATGATGTGATAGGGCAGTATGGTTAAATTACGGGTCAGGGTATTGCAATGTATAAAATCTGAGCCAAATAGATGTTGTAGATGTGAACACTACAATCTATCTATAAGTGACAGAGTAAGGATGCTCGACTGAATGTCTTTAGCTAGTGCTGTCAAGCAAAACTAAAAGCGTTAGCACCAATGCCAAAAATCTACAGAGCTATTTGTCTCGAGGATTTACGTACTGCTACACACATAAAACTGTAAAACTAATTGAAATTCATAATGCCGGGTGATTCATTTTGCTCACCGAGTTGTAAAGTAACCGGATTTAGGACTGGAAAAACAATATCAAAAATCTTGAAATTTCTGATATATTTTCTAGCCTCTTCTGTCTTGTAGAGGATCTTAAGTGCTGACCTTAAGGGAGGATATTTTGGTCAGGAGCGTTACAACGTGGTTGGTTGAGATGTCTTGGTTGTTTGGCTTTGGCAAACAAACATCGAAAGACTTCGACATTCCTGGTGACGTCCCGCCACCACCAAGCCCACCTGCAAGTTTACAGGACAAGAAACAGTCTAAAGATACGGCTTCTGCTTACCGATTTGATTCAGCTGCACTTGAAAGAGCTGCAAAGGCAGCTAGAGAACTTGAATCATCTAGTATGTATTAAATGTCCGATTCATAGTGTTTCAGAACATGCGAAGGAAGCATTTGATCTATCTCAAAAACATGAACAAACTTTACAGATGGAATATCAATCAAAAATGAAGGTATAAATATATACGTTGTCAAGAAATGTGTCATTCACGTTGTTTACCTAGGAGTACGAGCTTGGATTAGAACAGATTAAAATACAGCAATATAGAGCTCAGCAGGAAGAACGCAGGAAAACGCTAGAGGAGGAGGCGAGAATACAAAAGCAGCGCGCCGATTATCAAGATATGCTGGCTCGTAAACGTCAGGAAGATCAAATAGCCTTACAGGTTCGTTTTTTGGATAGTTTTACTAAAAGGTAGGCCAAAGCTCAGGCAGACAATCTGAAAAAACAGGAGGAATCCGTTCAGAAACAAGAAGCAATGCGAAGAGGTAGTCGTGATTTTAATAATAATTAATAAGCATGTTTATTAATTGTTTCTGTGCACAGCAACAATTGAATTTGAATCGGATCTTCGCCACAAGAATGAAATGAAACAAATTGAAGCAAAGATTAAAGGTGAAGCTGAAGTTGAACGACAAAATCGTGACCTGCGCCTAGAACGTGCACGTGTTGACGCCCGAGAGTATCGTCAAACGGTCTTGGAATCCATAACAACTGCTGGCTCTGTCATTGGTAATGGTATCAGCAATTTCCTGTCAGAACCTGACAAGATGGCCACTGTCATTGGTTCACTAACGTTATTAGCTGGCGGCATATATGGGGCTAAATATGGGATCGGAACATTTACTAAAGTTGTAGAATCTCGTATAGGTAAACCGGCACTTGTGCGTGAGACTTCCCGACTAAATATAGTAGATACTTGTCGTCACCCTATCAAGGTTTGAATTTTTATATTAGTACATTCAATTTTAGACAGCCAAAACGGTCTTTCAGCGTCCTAAGGATCCTCTAGAAGGTATAATTTTGCGAGTAAGTTTAAATTTTTGTCCTGTTTGGGTTGAATTCGTCAGTTATGTGTCATCCATTGATGTGGTACATATTTCACTCTTTAGTGCCTCATAATAAGTCATTAGTGGTGTAGCTAAGATTCAGAGCGCTAAACTCGTTCATAAGCCATGTGATCAGTTAGATTCAGATTACTAGTACAATCTGAAGCCTTTTTTTGCAGTTGAGTTGCGATCATAGTTTTTGATAGCTTTGTGGTGGATAAAAGTGTTTCTATGTAGTAATGCGTGTTAGGATAAACAGATGCTAGCTTTATTTTGATAACTATCCTATTTCTTGACAATTATTTTGGGCTCTGAATAAATAATGAATTCGCGACTTGATTTGCTCGTGTCGTAACTCACTTTGCTCATATCGTCTTTGCAATTATCTGACCATCAGATGCTTAGTTAATTTTGTACCTACCGAATTAAAAACTAATGTAGCGAGTAATAAGATTACTAGGTATACCTGGTCTGTGTATAAATTTTAATCTACTTCAAATGCCAGTTTTACAACTTGTTCACGTTACATTCGTGTATTGTTTTGCATTGCTACTAGTTTAATATGTTTTAGCTAGTGCCAACAAACGAGTTTATTCCACGCATTGCATAGTCAAAAATACGTAAAATTATGGAATTAAATTCTGGATCAAGTTCTGTAGATCTTAAAACATCTCCATATTCGAATAATCAATTGGCCCCTCAACTATTAAATCAACTTTCGCTTGTAGTCAGAATAGTCAGTCAGTCTGACTGACTAGTCAGAATAAGGATTTTGTTATGATTATGACATATAGAGCAATAGCTTCAAGGGGATCACTTTATCAGTTTTTATCTACTTGTAATGTCGATATTGAGTAGACCTTAATGTTGCTTTGATGTAAGAGCGTTATGTTTGTTGTGGATATGTGACTTCTCTCTTTGGCTTTTTCGATTGGACTTTTTGATTCGCTTGCTTCTCAGACAGCGTTCTTACAATTGCCTTTCTCAAAATCCTGTCTTCTGTGGATTTACATTTTTCATAGCCTGAGTTGGAAGCATCTTTGAGAAAAATTGCAATTGCAACCAGACATACCAAAGCAAATAGAGGCTTTTATCGAAATATCCTAATGGCAGGTCCTCCTGGTACTGGAAAAACGATGTTTGCAAAGGTAAGTTTTAGTTTATCGTATTCTGTTCATTCACAAAGTTGATCATAATCAAGGTAGGACCTAGAACAAAAACTTTTAGAGGCAAGTTATTGAGTTACAACAATAAATCGACTAGAGGAATTTGAAAAATGGAACCAAAGAAATCGATGTTAAGGAGCTAAATATGACTTTACCCCGAACGAACCAATGAAATCAAATAATATGAAGTATGAGCATTAAGACTATTCATGGAATAAATTCATACTTGACGTAGTCGATCAGTTGGTGAACAGTGTCTGTAGGTATGGCATGTGCTTTACACCTAAGTGTAGAGCACTTTTACAAGACTAGCAGGACCCTGTACCTGCTCTCACTTTGAGTAGTAGTCGGGGAGTTCGCTTATCTGGGTAGCCGTGTAAGTGTGCATAGTGGTATGAGTGATGAAATCAATTCACGTATAGTGAAAGCCATAGCGGCTTATGCCGATCTGGGCCATCTTTGGCGCCTTCGTGATGTTGGTCTGGCTGTAAAAGGTCGAATGTACAAACGCGTCGGTGAGGCAGTTTTGCTCTGTTCTTGCGAATACTGGCCTCCGAGTTGAGGGTGTTAGATGACTCTCCGTGTTTGATTACTGTTGTCTCCAAAGGATTGTTGACATCCAGTGGCGACACCATGTTAGTAATGCAGAGGTTCGACAAGGTGTGATTGAGCACAGTGACGATAATTCAATTAGTGTCGCCATCTTGAAACACCGGTCTCGGTGGCTTGGGCATATCCTACAGATGTCATCTCAGTGGACTCCACACCGTCTGTTATTTGACGCACTGGGACTGGTTGGAAGAGGTGGTCAGTGTACGACATGGTGTCGTGATGTGGAAGAAAGCTGTACAAGACTGTCGGTCCTTCACAACTTTCTGGTTGAGCTCCTAGAAATGACACGACACAGCAGCTTGAAACATTGGAAGTAGCTGAGAAAAGTAAATGGCGATCCCGCTGTAACTTTTTTATGTCTATAAAAATAAACGCACCCTTAACTGAGAGGATTCTTTCTGGTTGTATTTTTCCTAGTTTATCTGCTTCTGTTCATTACTGCCCTTCTTTGTCATTATACTGTTTCTATTATCTATCTCTTCATAACCTCATATTTATTGTGTGGCGCACATATGTTTGGTGTCTCTTTGTACTAATGTTTGTTTGTTCATATAAGCAAAGAAAATAAGGAACATTTAGTTATGAATCATATCTTTATTAATACAACTACCAGACCGTTCATTTTACCACTTGTTTCGGGTCAATTTATAGGAAATGGAAACTGTCTTACTTTTAGTAGAAGTCCTGATGATAGTCAATACTTGTGCATCCGTAAAAAGATAATACTGTAGATGTAAGTAAACGGAGAATTGTTTATTCAGCAAGCTGCATAGTTAAAAATACTAATTAAAGCGTGTTCATGTCTTTTATTTCATTATACACTGGAAACCATGTATTTGAAATAAAGCTATATACTTAAATATCTTATCGTTGACATTTTTTAAAAATTATCAATTTTATGGGCAAATAAAATTAGGTTAGGGAACGAAATTTGATTTAAATATTCTTATTTGGCCCCCAAATGCCCTGGTACGGCCGAGAGTGGGGAGAGTCCGCTCTCCCTCCTGAAATGCTCTCACACGGCCACGCGTATATAGCCTCTGCCAGGGAAGTCCTACTCACTGCCTTCTCGTGGCGGGGGTGTTGTTTACGAAAATGAGAGGACGAAAAGCGAATGTCCGGCGCTTTAACCGGATTCCAAACCAATGGTGCACATGGGCTCCAGTATCCTGAGGGAACAAATGGCGCATGAACCAATTGTTGGTCACCGGCTTCCATGGGACTGCATCTCCTTACGATGCTCCACTGCCTTGTGGATCAGACCATTAGGTCAAAGGCTCGGAGAGTGGCCCCCTAAGAAAACCACCTGCTTCGGTCTGGGCACCCGGCAGTATCACAGCCCTCACACATATCGAATGAGATTTGTGTGGCGCACATGTATTTGGTACCTCTTTGTACCATTATTTATGTGTTTGTATCCAAACTCTCCATGTTACTTTTAGTCTTCATAATGAATGTAGTTTCATTATTTTTATTTTGTATATTTATTAAGCACCAAATTTTCAACAATTTTGGGAGATCTCCAATCCTGGCATATTATATTAGTAGGTTTTTTTTACTAAAGTTGACGCTCAGCAAAATATTTCTTTATGGACCTTCTTTTAGCTTTTAAGATTGTCAATACTTCGGTCTTATATTGTTTGGTTATTTTCTAAACACTCGTCGGTAACTGGATAGAAAAAATTCAGACAATATGTTACTTCATTCTCTCTTTCAATTGGTAGAGTTTGGCTATGCATTCGGGTATGGATTACGCGATTTTAACTGGTGGAGATATTGCACCTATGGGCAGTGAAGGAGTTACTGCAGTCCACAAAGTTTTTGAATGGGCCAAAACTAGTCGTAAAGGGTATGTAATGATGGTTTTTTTTGTACAAATACACCCAACTCCATTATGGTAACAAGGAGTTAAGTGGTGAAATGCATTAATTCTAGTTACTTATCTTACTACTAAGTGGTGAAATAAAGCACTAGTTTGAATGATATATCATAATTCTGAATCTTTGTTAAAGCTTCGCTTCTAAAGGATAAATAGGTGAGAACTGCACAGTGTGAGTTGTTATAATTACTTAATTTTGCATAGTCAATAGTTTTCTGTAATTCAAATTTCCAATCAAGTGGACTGAATACATGGGTTTGATATAAATTACAAGTTTAAATTAAGGGTGTATAAACAAATAGCTTACCCCATCAAAGTCAAGTAATGGTCCTTAGTAAGATATTATGCAACTAGATATATCCTTCCACATTGTTGTTAACAAAGGCATGTTGTTAATATGTATTCTCATAAGATACATTGTTACCAGACCCCAATCAGTTGATTACCGTTTTTGTATGAAGGGGTTAACACAGATAAGTAAATAAGATAAAGGAAAGAGTAAATATTTGACCCGTATACATGTTCGCTTTCGTTTCCCGGTCATAATTAATGGTTGGATCCTAGGACATCAGAAACATTAGATTATTTTTTATCTTAATAGTCCCAATCAAATGAAATGAGCGTGAATTTAAAGTTGGAAATAATTCTATTGTTTAAAAAATGATGATTGCATAATATCATTTATAGAATCTAGCTGCTTATTACTTCAAGTCTTTAATATTTAATTTTGACTTCGACACTTTTTTATTTCTTTTAGAGTTTTACTTTTTGTGGATGAGGCTGATGCATTTCTTCGTAAAAGAGACCAAGAACGAATAAGTGAAGGTGTCCGAGCAACTTTAAATGCATTTTTGTACAGAACTGGAGAACAGTCTAAGAAGTTAGTTAAAAATCTTTACAAATTTCCCACAATTTCTAGAACGCTTGGTTAAGTAAGACAGTAAAACACGAAGTTCAGCGAAGGGATCTCTTTTCGACGAATTTATTATCAAGCTGTACAATTGTATATATATGAAAATTTTTGTTAATGTACTAGTTTCGTGAGAAAATATGGACAAAGAATAACCAAGATGATGTAATAGGAAGATTATAATACTAGACCACGTAATACGAATAATAACGATAGACTTAATAAGTTAGTAACGAATTATAGTGTGAATGTAGTAAGACGATTAAAGTGTTTTTGTTACAATAATTCAAGGTCATAGAGGTGTTAAAAATAAATAAAGTAACATCACGAGCACTTATGAATAAAATAACGAGAATATGAAACATAAGTAAGGAGAGAAATAATAATAATTATTATAAAGTTGACGATAACGATAGGATGTACTTCTTTTGTACACAGATTCCTGGCTTCAGCTCAGGGATGGTAAGAGTATCGACTATTTTTAGGAGTTGGATACTAAGAAGTCTTAGTAGATATGAAGGAATCGTATATACAACCTTAAAATCAAACTGTCGATCAGTAGAATGGTTACAATTGATTAGATGTTCAAGTATAGAACTCCTAACTGCTTTCCTCTCACCGTTGTAGAACCATACTGGGACATGTCCCCGTATCCAAGTTGAAAGCGAGCACTGGCTACGGCAAATGTACCTTGCTCCACAAAACCGGTAGATGCACATGGGGGCGACCAGACGGGGAATCTTTTCCGCATACAGAAAACAAGTTCCTACCAGCGAACGTTATTTTCATTTTTGCCGCATAGAATGTTCTGTTTATCTCTGTCGTCAAACAATTTCTGATTACACCAGATGTTCGATCACTTTTAAATTCCAAATTTATATGAAGATTTTTCATTAGAACGGAACAACCGGATTCCTTGTTACTACTTCTTTTCATATTCTTATCTATGAAGCGGTTTGGATAGCCATTTTTCATCAGTTTTCCTGAGGAATGTAAGTTCTTCGTCAATGCTTTCAGTACTACATATCCAGTGTATTCGGTAATATAAAGAGTGAATAAGATTGTAACAAAAACACTTTAATCGTCTTACTACATTCACACTATAATTCGTTACTAACTTATTAAGTCTATCGTTATTATTCGTATTACGTGGTCTAGTATTATAATCTTCCTATTACATCATCTTGGTTATTCTTTGTCCATATTTCCTCACGAAACTAGTACATTAGCAAAAATTTTCATATATATACAATTGTACAGCTCGATAATAAATTCGTCGAAAAGAGATCCCTTCGCTGAACCTCGTGTTTTTAATGTCTAAATGGGAATTATCTGTCAAATAAGACAATGTTTATATTTAACTACCAATTTCCTCTAACGTTGAGATATTCACAATAATCGACCGCTGAGCCTTAATATTAACGTCATGTCCAGTCCTCAGTACTAATCTCGCCCCACCGACCAATTTTGATTATTTAATAGCATCGTGCCCTGCAACTGATAGTAGATAATTAAGTTTGTCAGTTTTCCTCAGCTATATGTCATCAAGTAAGTAACGTTTTACTTGTAAACTACAGTCTCCAGACCAACAATCTTCGGAAAACAATCACGTCAGAACATATATATATATATATATATATATACGTCTCTCAGAAAATTAATCCACTAGTGGTGTATCTCTCATTCTTTAGTATTGCAGGCCATTCTTTGCCCGATGTTTGATTGGTTGATTGTATCAAACACGATCACTGTATCTTACTCATCAACTAACAAAGCGTCTTAAAAACGTGAATTCTTTTCGACTTTCATAATGTAGAATTCTCGTTTCTGAACTGATGTATTGCACATGATAGACAAAAGAACATCCACCATTTATTATTCGTTCAACAGAATAGCTTTATATACTTTGACATTGGAACCAAATAGGCATCATATTTAATAATACCTGTTTGGAAACGATATAATGATAATTATTTCAGTTTTCCTATCTACTCCCGTATTATTAAGCAAATATTGACTTATCTGTGCAAACGAAAAAACTGACTCAGTACTTGTTTAAATACGTACAAAAGGTTTGCACGCTTGAATTTTCATTTTTTTGTGTAGAATGTAAGGGAATCTATTTAATGCGTCGGAAAACTTCGCAGCTCCTCTAAAACTGTCTAAAGCTCATAAATTAGAAATTTTTATTGTTCAATGATGTGATTTCACTTGTAGGTGTGATAATCACTCATTTTATATAAGCTTAGCTTTGTAAATGTGTAGTGAACGCGAACACAAATGCGGGACAACCAAATGTATTTGAACACAAAATTACAAAACGTTTTAGTAAAATATGGGAACTCTACAGTAAATACTTCATTTGAAAAATGTCAATCAGTCGTCTCAGGCCTCATTGTTCCTTCGTTTTCACAGCAACCATTCTCTGTTCTCTTTTCTTCGATCTTCTTAACCTTCTGCCTCCAGGCATTTCACTTTCGATTGATGATATATACTACTTATATCTGTCGACATCAGTAGCACACACCACAAATGTACACGAAAATCGAGGAATTTTTGTCTGTATACAGTGTAAATAGTTTTGTTGATGAATTTACTTCGTTTTATATACAGTGAACTCGAAAAAACGTTGCACGCTACGCAGAAAATGAAAAAGCCTTTTTTAGTAGCCGTTTGAGAAACCTGAATAAGTTAAGGATAAAATAAATTCTACATTATTAAATCGATGAAAGCCTCTAAGTTGTAACTGAGTGCAACACCTGAACGGCTTCATTGAAATAAACAATTTAATCGAATACTAGTACTATATGGACCAACGGTTAAATTCCTACATTAGAACGAAAATTTAGCAGAATTTTTTAGCGGGTTACCCCAACTATTCTATCTACTTAAAAGGAACCACACGTAATGATCCAGATTAATAAAAGTTGTAGTTGGTCCGTTAACAGTCAGATGTAGATATCTACGATTACTTATTCAATTAAAATATTGCTTATATGTAATTAGCACTTTTGGTTTACTGAACAACATTAAGACTTCACAATTTAAAAGAAGCAGTTAACTCTACAATTGTTGACATTACAGAAATGTAGGAAAGATACACACTGATTGGGTTAGGTATGGAATCCTTTTATTTTGAAAATTAGCTCGCAAGTCTTTGGACTTTAACCACTTATAGAACACTCACATACACGTAGCTTTAGAAGATTATGAATTTCATTAAAAATTGCTGGCGCTCTATAAGTGTTTGAAAACAAACAATGAAGTATATTCGTTGATACAAATCAAACTGTTCCGTGGGATAGGAAGATCACATACTACATACTACCGTATTATGAATTGTAGTCGTTTGATATATATGTTCACAATATTTGTTATGTTTCAGGATTATTCATAAAAGTTAAATCGATTTAAAAAAGATGCTACGCTCCTTACAGTATCTATTCACTATGAATCCGTTGGTATAATTGGAAGTTGTGTTAGTCAGGTATGACATTCAGACCTTTGACCATTTTTACTAAAAATAAACTTTACAAAGTTTAGAGTCAATACAATAGTGTTCGTCATTCAACCTAGTTTTAGTTCATTATTCCATATAATTCTTAAACCCTAGACAATTTTTATCAATCTATTAATCGTAAATATTTCCTCTTATAGATTTATGTTAGTTTTAGCCAGTAATCAACCTGAACAGTTCGACTGGGCAATTAATGATCGTATGGATGAAATTGTTCAGTTCACACTACCTGGTTTGGAAGAGCGTGAACGATTGGTCAGGCATTATTTCGATCGTTTCCTTCTTCAACCTTCGTTAACCAAAAGTCACCGTATTCGCCTAGCTGAAAACATAGATTATGCTGTAAAATGTGCAGAGATCGCTAAAAGAACGACTGGCCTCTCTGGACGCGAAATTTCTAAAATTGCAGTTGGATGGCAGGTACATGATTCACATTTTTACATAGGTACTATTAATTTCAGTGAGAGTGCAACATTTTAAAAGAAGCAATAAAGAGATAGGTTCTAAACGTTTAAATATGATTGAAATATTTCCAGGTTGTCAATTCATAGACGTCAATGCTATTGTGGTCGTATTTTCATCGTACAAAAAATTAAGTGATATACCAGAATCCACGTAAACGATTGCTCAAATGGAAAAAGAAACATTTTAAGATATTCAGGGTTGCTTCTGAACTATTAAAAATTTCGAAACGTGCTAAAGCTTTAAAAGTAACATATGCACTATTAGATAACACATTACCAGTATTTATCTCGGCCTCCGTGATGTATGGAAACGGAACAAGTCTGGTATACCGATTGCTAGAACATCAAACTAATATTAGTTTGCTACCTCAAATCACCCAACTCCTGATTAAGTATACTTGCGTAAATCTTTCGCTCAGTGTAACATTAAGTAAATCCCCAAGTCATTTCGACTTACAACTTTAGTCATCTTAAATTAATCTTGAATTAAACAATAGGTGGTTTACGTTAATGGTAAAAGACACTTAAGCATCTTTGAAAAGTTACGAGAACCTCTATATGTTTGTGTGAGTGCTGATGAGGATATATGGGATAAGGTCAATCTAGGTTGAACTACTTTTTTGCCATTGTATTACGTACATGAAGGATCAGCACTTGTTAAAACCTAGTTCTGTAAACCAGACTTTCGATAACTTTGTGCGTTTACTGTTGTCGTTTCAGTATTTGTTGCATTAATTGCCTACACTATGCAATGTTACACCTGCTTGGACTTAATCCGTATCATCATCTTATTGAGGTTTCACAGTGATTGGCTGGTTGAACGCGGTTTACAGGTATCGTCACAACCATTACTCAAACATTTCATAGCAAAGTATAAAGGTTGTAGTGACTCGGAGTGCATATATGTATTATGACTTCTAACGTAAGTGCCGTTCCTGTCGCAATAATTTCCTCTTCGAAATATAATCAATACTTCAGAGAAGTAAAATCTTTTTGGCCCTGTGCTTATGTTGTCTGCTTCATTTATTACCATTATTTTCATTACTAATCTACACAATATTGTCATCACGTTTCATTCTGGTTCAGGTCAGTGCACGCCAAACACTGTTTAACATAACTATTGGTCCTCAAAATGTTACTGATTTTTTTCAAACTGAGGTCTAAAAATAACTAACAACACTGGTGTTTGTTGAATTTAGAAAACTTCTTACCTGATCAATCTTGAAAATTCCCCTCAACTTCATTGATTAATATAGTCCGGTTTCATAAGTATTGGTTTAATTTAACAAATGAGCTAAAATGACCATCTATCTTTAACTCTCTCGATTGTTTAATATTTTGTATGTCTCTTCCTTATTTCTGTTTCAACCGTAACAGACAGCTGCATATTCCAGCGAAGACGGTGTTTTGACAGAAGGCATGATGGATGCTGTTGTCGACAGTGCTATTGCAGCTAATCGTCAAAAACAAGAATGGCGACACTATAGACTTTCTGACGCGGTAGACGCTGTTCCAAACTAGTACCACTTACAATAAGGAAGCTACCAGCTTTTGCATTATGCATCACATCTGTTATTTACTAATCTATACATATGATTCCCTGTGTACCTAATCAGTAGTCTTTTTGAGATAAGATCAAGTAGCTTTTTCAATCGCCAGATATAGTATAAAATTGTCAACTAATTTTCTCCCTTAACAAAAAGCTTGTTATGTCTGGTTTTTCTTCACGCAATGAACCAACAATGAAGTTTTTTTACAAATTCATTAAACGGTTCTGTGGGCACTTCAACGATCTTTTATCGTGTATATTGGGCTGGACATTTTGAAATAGATCACCAAAGTTTGATTGTTTATAGTCCGAACAATCCAGTTTCCAACTAGCCTTAAATATAACTATAATGGTTATTTAGACATTTAGAGAGACGCTAGCGAGCATCGGTCACTAAATTCTAAAAACACCTGCAAAAGGTTGGGGTCTATTCTACAAGAGACTCTGTGGTCAATTTAATATACCAGGAACAAAATTAATGTAAAATTCTTCGTCAGAGAGAATTTCATTCAGACTGCAGGGAAGTCATCTAAGTTTATTTTTAAAGCGGACTAGCATACAAACCTTGTTTGAGGTTTCGAAATTTACTTAAGATCGAACTCCCCAGTTCTTTATGCTGAAAAGTAATGCTGGCAATATTTCCTAAATCGTTATCAGGATTTGGAAAATGGACTATAACACCACAGTAAAGCGACCAGCCTAAAACAAGGTAGAGACTATAGTTGAACCATGCAGAATGTGGATTCAACCGAGCATTCCACATGCGATACAAACACATTGTGTGATTGTGCTCATTCCTGTTATATTGCTTGGTCTCTAACCACTAATTTGTACCATAATGTCCTCAGTTCTCATTTAGCACATTGGTGGTTTGTCCATCCTTAACTTCACAATGATTTTGAATTGCATGTCGTGGTTTGATATTCAGTCAGTGTAGACTTGTAGTTTAATTCTTTTCAAGCGAAGAGTGTATAGTATTCTTCGTCTAATGATTCAAGAACACTAGAAACGAAAGCGATCGGTCACCCGCAATCTACATGTATCCTCATCTCTTCACGGAAGTCCCACAGTTTTACGGTTCTTATGGAAGACAAATGCACCTGCGCAGTTTTTAAGCTAATGAATTCCAACAAAGAAGTTCTCCTTAAGGTTAGACAGTTACCGAATCACCTTTGAAACCTAAGCTAGTGCCACAGCCATTAAAATCACGATTGTTTATAAGGCAATGTGGTGAGTTATGCAGTCATCGGGTGATAGGTTTCTTATAGATTATTAATAGTACATATTTCGGGAAGTGACTTATACCAATTGTTATTATGCATGAAAGAGCTTTATCAACTTTGAGTGTGGGAGATTATATTGCAATGACAATTTATAGTATGGATATGAACCAATATTAGGCCTGCCCCACAGATGGCAAAAATGACCAAAGAGTCCTCGTAAGTTAGAGAATGACGGCATACAAAATAAACTGTGAATACAACAGTCAGTACATCACGAACAGACTGTCAACAGTTTTACCGCTTTTATGCGGAGTTAGCATAAGCGTGAACCCTGTATTTTTAAATGAGTAAATGAAAGAAATATCCTCAGCCTATTTTATTTTTAATAAGATTCTTGAGCTTTCTTTACCATTAGGGAACAGTCTCGAAAATTCTATCATTTATTAGGTGCATAACTGAAGTCATTTGATATGACATCATCCTACATGGTATGGTTACTGTCAAACCTTGGATGTTTTTTGCTGATAGTCCGTTACTTTCCCTTTTTGGAAGAATGGTTTGGGAGTGTGGCTTAAGTGGATAACTAGCTTGAGAAATGCACGATCAAAAGACGTTCTGTAATTCTGCTTGACAAATAACAATTTGCTAGATTCCTTAACAAAAATAGAAGGGAAAATATCACAAAATATTATATTAGGCTGTTAACCGCTTACAATGTAAAAGCAGATGTTATCATTATTACATAGCAGACATCCCGTTTTTGAAGTCATTTTGGTAAAGCTCTCAAAACATACGTCCACCATAACCGTAAGTTTGTTTCAGTGCAGCAAGGAAAATGGTGAGCCATCCATCGCGGGTATTTTCCAAGTCATAGGCAGGAACATTTTTCTGTGCTAAAAAAACGCGCGTTCCGCCTTCAAAAGCATTCATTTCCAAAGTCAGTGAGCTGTAGTGGTTCTCAGGCCAATCGCGTTTACGCCACCTCATTTGAATACTTTTACCAGGATCCTGAACATTTCGTAGACAACAAAATGATTCACATTAATTCAAACTTTAAGCATTAAAGTTGAACTATTAAATGGCTGAGACAAACAATATCCAGTAGTGAACAGACTAACTGTGAGTAATCAGAACTTTATTAACAGAAAGTATCCCAGACGGCTAATATGCATAAATAAGTTTGGGACACGTAAAAATGATACCATAAGTTTCACAGGAATGATAACCGTAACACCAACGAAACAAGAAATATTGCCAAGCAGAAACATGAGGACTATTGGTGCTTAACTTTACTGTGGAGACGCACTATGCACATACTTGATAACAAAAACGTCCCGTTCATTAGTACGATTTATATAGGTTTTGAGGAAAATGTCACGACTGCGCTGTCGCTTTTTTGCTTTATACGCATTGATTTTGAAACCAACTAATTCTGCAATCAATAGGGACAAGGGTTTCTTGCCTACTTTTTCTAACTAATTTATCTGAACAAAAACAGTGCAAAGGATCATTAAAATGTATCAATCAGCAACAACGTAAAACTTCGTACATACGTACATCAGTTCAAGTTGCCGCATTAAATGTATATGTGCCACACAATAAAAATGAGGCCGTGAAAAGATAAAGAATGGAAGGTGAGTATACTACAGAAGAAAATGGCAATGAGATAAGTTCGTGTATAAGAGTGAAAAATTTAAAATGAGTAGCAGTTCACTCAAGAAATATACATTGTATGAAGATTCTTTCCACTAAAAACCCATTTATATGAAGAACACTACAACAGGACCTTCACTGGCTTCTACTCTGAGCCATGTCTGACACCTCAAGAGTGTGAGGAACCGACAGTCTTGTACAGCTTTCTTCCACATCACGACACCATGTCGTACACTGACCACCTCTTCCAACCAGTCCCAGTGCGTCAAATAACAGACGGTGTGGAGTCCACTGAGATGACATCTGTAGGATATGCCCAAGCCACCGAGACCGGTGTTTCAAGATGGCGACACTAATTGAATTATCGTCACTGTGCTCAATCACACCTTGTCGAACCTCTGCATTACTAACATGGTGTCGCCACTGGATGTCAACAATCCTTTGGAGACAACAGTAATCAAACACGGAGAGTCATCTAACACCCTCAACTCGGAGGCCAGTATTCGCAAGAACAGAGCAAAACTGCCTCACCGACGCGTTTGTACATTCGACCTTTTACAGCCAGACCAACATCACGAAGGCGCCAAAGATGGCCCAGATCGGCATAAGCCGCTATGGCTTTCACTATACGTGAATTGATTTCATCACTCATACCACTATGCACACTTACACGGCTACCCAGATAAGCGAACTCCTCGACTACTACTCAAAGTGAGAGCAGGTACAGGGTCCTGCTAGTCTTGTAAAAGTGCTCTACACTTAGGTGTAAAGCACATGCCATACCTACGGACACTTTACCAACTGATTTGGGTGAGTGTTCATTGTGAGAACAAACATTTAAACCGCTCATCAAACCGTTAAGTTGACATTAGAAGACAATGTGACTAAACAGCTGAACAATTGAAATCTACTAATTCCCGTAAAATCCTTGAAACCAGTTTTGCTACGAAGGTGATGTCATGTGATTTTGAAAGAAGTAAAGGCAATTAGTTGAAAATAATATTCGCTGGAGCTCTACAACATATTCACAATACCTTCACACATAGTAGTTAATCAAAATGGGATTAGTATTGGATCGTAAGAATGAATGAAACATTAGAACAATAATTACAAAGAGATTAAGTAAAAATCCGTCTAGTGGAAAAAATAAATCAAGGATGAGAAGTACGAATGGATTTCTCATCCGGTAAATACAGAACAACAAAGAGAATCAAGGCGATAGATAAAATTTAATGACCAGATCAAAACAAACGGAAAGGTTGGAGCAAAGCAGGATTTAAAAAGTCGCCTTTGATGAGTTTGACCTCAATTTAGTGCATTTTTTATGTCTATGTCATACCTGATCCCGCATTCGTTGAATCACGTTATTTGGTTTCGCGGACAATTTCGAGAGGTAATGTGGAGTTACATAGCCACAGTTGGCAAGTTAATCATAAATTGAGCTAATGATTTAGTACCATTAAGAACTAAAGTGTAATAAACTGAAAAAGCACTAGGAAACAGTAGGTTATGTGAAGATAAAAAATTTACAATCGCATATAAATTGGTCACAACAACGAGATGGACAATTAATTATTAAACTTTCTAATTACGACCACTGTTAAGTCCCATAATTTTATCATAACCGTATCGGTCATTATCAAACCTCTTCCTGGTCCCTGTTATATTTTACCAAATATTGAATGCGATTTATACCGCTCAATGAGTATAATTTTAGTTAGCCACCAGATTTCTAAAATAATTTTAAATAAAATTGTACAGCTTCAGTGAATTGTACTGTTGAAAAGAAAACTAACTTCATTAAACTAACTATAGTTGTTTCATATCAAATGAACTTATTCTTTTGTTTAGATATACCCTAACGAATGTGTGAAAAATTGGTGACTACATATAGACAAGTTTACTTTTGAATTATACTAGTGCTTTTCGAAAAATTACGTGGACAAAAATCAGTGGGACTTACTAGCAAGTCGAAGATTCCTGTAATGTTTCCACTGAAGACGGAATATGCTCCACCGACGACTGGGTCCACAGTGGCCTCAGATCGTGTAAAAGCTTTAACTAACTAAAATTAGAAAGAGCGCATTCGTACTTAAACTATATGATATTTATTTAGTAATTTATTAAAGGTAACCCAATACAAACTGAAAGTAACTAGCGAAATGTGTGTGATATGGTATTCCAACACGAGTATCATGTCATAAACAATTCACATTGTAATGTGATCATACATTGGTCAGTGAGTCAAACGCAACGTAGAACATGGCACATACATCAATATGTACTACCATAGGTCCAAAGTCTGGCATCAAATTCTGTTATTTTCGCAAGCTGGGTACAACTATTTCAACATTACGA